TTATGTTGTTCTTATCTTCCGGTTAAGGTTTTTATGCCTTTAGTAAATCTGTATGCAATATTTTAGAATTATCAACAATTTTAAAAGTTGTTTAAGTGCCGCTAAGCTTAATAATTTTTTCGATGGCGGCCATTGCTTGTTCACATTTGAAACAGCAGGAATAGTGGATTTGTTGCCAATCTAGAGAAAGTAAGCTTCGCAACAACAAAGGATAACGACTTCATTTTATTATTGCCAATTAAATCATGCTTAATCCATTCTGCAAATTTATTCGAGTAAATAAAGTGTTTAAGATTTACTTCGTAATTTTCAATACAGACTTCTTTTGAAGTTTAATTAATTTTTGGCATTGTCGCGAAGTAAGAACTGAATTAATTGAATGTGAAAACTCAATCGTCTGTGAAAAACTGTTTCTTTTTTGTTTTGTTTGATTAATTTCTTGTATACATCGTTCTAGCTTTATTATAGTATTTGAATAGAACATGTGGCAACGATTATATAATTCTTTAAATGATATAAATTTTGTGCATTCTGAGTTATAATGTGCTCCGTCGCTAGTAATTTCTGAGTTCTAGCACAACATGTGAACAAGTTCTTCCATATTATTGGATACAACTTACTCGATTCTTCAAGCATTTAAAAATCAAGTATCATATATTGGTAAAGGCCGTTAATGGACGATTGCCTCTTACTAAGTGATAAGACATAGAGACAGACATAGTTATAATGTGAACCTAGCGCCAGAGTGTCGCTATGGTAAACAAATAAAGTGAATTTTAAATAATGCATTTATTCTATTGTGGTTTAGGACCTGTCGGTGAAGTAAGTTTAATTCAATCCAATAAGTTTAAACGAAATGCAAGAAAAAATACGTATAATTTAATATTCCGTACAAGGAAGTCATGTGGTGTACACATTAGATTTTTTTTACTTCGTACAAGGAAGTAAAAAAGTGTTGAATACAACAATAATTATTCGCCTATCATTAATGTTGCTGCTTTACGTTTTATTCTGGTGATCATTGTCCAAGAAAATTTAAACGTATTTGTCTTAGGTATTAAAAGCGCTTTCTTAAATGGTGATTTAAAAAATAATTATTTATATATATCCGCCAAAAGCTTATGATGGCCACAGTGGTAGAAAATGTAGACTTTAAATAATTTATATGGATTGAAACAGCCAGGCACCTCGACACAAACTTTTCAAGTTCATAGAAAAATTGTGTTTTAAGCAACTAAGCAGTGAGCCTTGTATTTTTATACTCCAAAAGAGCGCTTCAATGATAATTATTGCTCTTTATGTAGATGACCTACTAGCTGCTGGTTGAAAGATTCATGAATTTAATACATTTATTGAATTGTTAGCTAAAGAATTTTAAATTTCTATATTTAGAAAAGGGTCTGAATTCCTTGGAATGTGAATACCAGTTTATGCAAAAGGAATTATCCTTAGGTTAAGGGATTACATCTTACCATTGTTGAAAATGTTTAACATGTTGGACTGCAAAGCGTGTTATATTCCAGTGGTGTCTAAATCCATATTAGCTGATTTCGAAAAAGGATGTTCTTATAAAAGACCATATCAAGAAGTAGTGTGTAGTATTTTATCTACACTCATGTCCATAAATTAAGGATAATTCGGAGTCACTCAAATCGAACTCTAAAATAAATATATCACCTGTAAAATCACTACACACGTCTTCAAGAATAATATGCAAATTTCAGGAAGTAACCAGATGACACTGATGGTACGTCACAATGACGGAGTGTAAGAGAGTGATATATAAGGAATACAAGCAAAGAAGTAAAATTGTTTGCAGGCGCTTTCTAAGCATTTCAGTGCAATAACCGAATAGGTTATGACACAAAAGACGCATTTGGATGATTTTTTACGTAGTAGAATTATCGGCCGTCTAGAATGTGGGTGTACCCAACATTGAAGTATCAGACGGAATTGCCCAAAATGCCATCTCCAGGCCTTTGGCAACGATTCCAAGATGATGGTAATGTGAGTAAGTAGACGTTACAGCACAGGTCGCCTCAGAGTTACAACGCCGAATAGGACCGGTATTTGGCAGTTACTGCCAAAAAGAAACAGGCGGAGCACAGCCTCAGACCTGTCTCGTCAGCTCCTCTTCAGCCACTGGTACGACAATTTCAAGGCAGACCGTGTACAGACGCTTAGGGCAGATTGGTCTATATGCTTCGTAGACCTGTCAGATTCGTTCCACTTACTGCAACTCACTGTCGCCTGCGGTTAGCCTGGAGTAGAGAGCATGCATTGTGGACACCGCAACAGTGGGCTTGTGTGATGTTTTCCGACGAGTCCAGGTTTTAGCTTGCAGTCTGATTCTCGCGGACTTTCATATGGAGAGCTCCAGGTATCCGTTACCACCAAGAAAAACATCATTGAACGACACCGTTACGGTGGTGTAGGAGTGCTCGTTTGGGGTGGAATTATTCTGGGTTCCAGAACTGACCTGCATGTTCAAATTGGAACCATGACAAGCCATATCTATCGGGGACGTCATTCTGGAACAACATGTACGTTTGTTTCGGGGCGCCATGGGCACACAATTTGTGTTTATGGATGACAACGCCCGTCCTCACCGTGCAAAAATCGTAAGCGAATGCCTTCAATCGGAGGATATCACCCGTATGGACTGGCCAGCATTCTCACCGGACTTGAATCCAGTAGAACACGTGTGGGAATGCTTGGCCGACGATTGCAGCCCGTCAACCTCCTCCTACATGTCTACCGGAACTTCGGAGAGCATTGCTTTTTGGTGTGTGTAATATCCCCCAAGATCAGATCGATAATTTGATACTCAGCATGCCTAGGCGTTGTACGGACTGTATTGCATCGTCTGGGAGACATACAATGTATTATTAACAATCATACCAACCATGTAATATTGGTTTTTTGTAAATAAGGTTTTTTTTTTTTTTTTGTAATTTGCTCCAGGAAGAAAAAAAAAATCGCTAATTTTTAATAATATCAAACATATAGCATCTTTTTTTGCTCTTTACCTTTTGTTTAATAAATAAGCTTTACAAATAAGTCAAATTTGTTTTGCTTCTAACTCTTCCTTTGCCTGAGTTTGCATTATCCTTAATTTATTGACATGAGTGTAATTACACGACTGGATCAGATATTTTATATGCAGTTAATTGTTCAAGAAAATCCTACTGATATTTAATGGTGTGCTCTTAAGCGAATTCTTCGTTATTTTAAAAGAATGACTATAATGAAGTTGTTGTATTCAATGTGTAATTATAGTAAATATAAACTATGTTGCATTTACTATAATACTATAAGTTATATAATAGTATAATACTACGTAACTTACATAATACTATAAATATATAAGTTATATAATACTAAAATAAACTTACTGTAAGTTTTATTTAGTAATATTATGTATTTATATAAATTTGATTTTACTACGGTCATTTGAATTATCCATCTATATTTAAATAACTGCTTTTAAATTACATTCCCATGCTTATTCTTAATGCATTTATTAATAGCTTATTTTATGCTTATGTATACTGCTAAATGCTTCAAGATTTAATCATCGCAATAAATTAAAAAGCATTTTAATAATGCACAGCAAAATTTTCAGTTTATCTATAATCTTGAGTGACTTGTTATCTAGAGTTATAAGAATAAGACATTTCAAGCACAAGTGAGTAAAATATATAAATAAATAAAAAATTGTGAGTAATAATTTTCATTTAGCGTTAAAAATCTTTAAACAGTAAATAACCATGAATTGGACGCAATGAGTGTTTCTTTTCCCAGCAAGCTTTTCAGGCCAAAATCAGTAGATTACCTAAAACCAGTATGGTTTGATTTTCTGAAAGGATATTAACTACAATTAACACTCAGAAAATCGATTGATACTGATAAACTCTGTTGGTGGCGATTGAAACCTTTTTGACGTAGTAAGCGGAGAGACCTATTGTCTAGATGACTTGTTCACAACGTTGGTACTATTCGGTTTCGAGGCCGTAAAAAATCGCCAAATTATTGTTGATGCCAATGCTGCCAAAAAGAATTGCGGCAACCCTAATAATTGCGGCAAAAAAGGAAGTATAATAGTGAATAACTGTCTAAGATTGAGTTTTAATTTAGATGAAGGTTAATTTATAAATACTTTTTATTATTATAATAGATGAAAAAGGCGGAAACAGACTGAATTAAGCAAAAGTAATAACTATTTCAGATCTATATAATTTATATAAAATTGCTAAACTACCGAATGGTGGATGCCTTCATTGCTATTCGCTACCGACTTAACGCTAAACCATAATTTCATCTAGTTTGTTGTTCAAACTAATTTTCTATATGAATGATTCCTTTCTTTGAAATATCTCGGTAAAGTCAAATCGCTCACTTATTGTTGCCGCTTTTTAAAAGTAACAATTGGATTTTGTCAATTTTCTTTTACTTTTTAAGTGAAATAGGTCGATGTGTAACAGAAAAGTCAAGGGTGTGCGCAGGCCATTTTTTGCATTCTAGATTTGTTTTAAGTGAAAAGAGGTCTATGTGCACATGGATACCGATATGGCAATTTAAAAACGCGTCAAGATGGGTGATGCTGCACTTTACCCAAATTCTATTGCGAATGTTCGTATGGGCAATTCCCAATTGTTTAAATCCATAGGATATCACAAAGGATTAATCAAAAAAGAATTTAAAAATAAACTAGTATTCAATAAGAAATTAGAAAATATAAACTTACGCAGAAATCGCGTACCTAGATTTGGCGCGCTGTTAAATGGGCGCGTTTGCTAGATTTGGCTCTTTTTGCGCATACATTTTCGCTGCAATTTTCTTACGACCCTCAAAACAGAATAGTATCATAACGCTTTACAATACATGATATTACCTCAAATTGATATGTATAGCTCGCTGAAAGGAATTTTATATGTACATCGAATATCTGCAGTTATATCATTTTTCTTCTGTGCATCATCTTCCCTTCTCTTGTCTAGGAATTCCATCACTCGAAGTAAGCAAAGGAATTCAAGGTGAACCTGGTCGTCCTGGTCTTCCCGGCTTCCCTGGAGGAAAAGGCGATAATGGCTTTAATGGTTTCCCAGGACCCAAAGGTGTGAGGGGAGAACCTGGATTCCAGGGCAGACCTGGATTACACGGAGCAGTAGGAATTAAAGGTAAAAAGAGTGAAACAGCTTTTATAAGAAGCCATCGACTATGTCTGTGAAATTAAAAGGTCATGCATTTATTTAAATGTGAAAATTCTAAAATTAATATCTAAATAGTAAATAACTGCTTTGCACTCAACACTACCTAATTTTATATTTTACTTTGCGGTGTTTCTCATCTATCTTAATTTAAAGATCTTCTGTAATTTCATAAACGTAATTAAGTCGATATTTACGATATTTTAATCTTGCGTCTTATTTATCTTAAATATTCAAGGTACACTGCAGAAAAAAGAGGGGGCAGTTCTATATATCCCGTTCTACTGGGCCGATTGACGAAATTCAACTTGCGTTTTTCATGTCTCGAAAGCACGACTTAGGATATCTATTAGATTTATATATATCATTGTCCTAATATAGGTATTTTGACACAAAATCGGACTTTTTCTGAAATGACATGACACTTTTTTTTTTTCCTATTTCGATTCTACGACTCAAATGATGCCCAACTGCCAAGTTTTGTAAAAATCGCACGAGTAGTTTTTCAAAAATGAGCTCTCAAAATTTTAGCTCCTTAATATTAATTGAGTTTGGTATATTTATTAATATCTCTTTTTTACTAAACTTATTTGATTCTTCGGCTCTACTCTTATATACGCCCTAAGATCACCAAATGTCGCGATATGTGTTCTGCACTGGTTTTGGGGGCTATTCCGTGCTGTGGGATGGTTTGATGGACGATGCTGTTTGTATGCAACC